CAGGTGGCTGCTGTGGTGAATTTTTTTTTTTTTTTTTGTATTTTTTATTGTGTATGAGTGTATTGCCTGCATGCATGTGAGTGCACCCCTGTCCTGAAATGTGAAGGTCAGAAGAGGGCTTCAGAGTCCCCTGGAACTGGAGTTAAGGACGATTAGTAGCCACCATGTGGGTTCTGGGATTTGAACCGGGATTTAATGTAAGAGCAGCCAGTGCACTAAACCAGAGGCATCTCTCCAGTCCAAGATTCATCATATTTATACCATCAAAACAAAAGTTGCTATCCTACAAAAGTTTCTATTCACTAATTTGGCTAGATAAGTTTAAATTCTGTGTGAGCTGAGCATAGTGAGAGTCTGAGGCAAGTTGTAAGCCTCCTTTGCACTTAGCAAGTCCCATCTCAAGGAGTGGTGGGGAGAGCTGGTGTGTAGAACAGCCTGGTACAGCACTTACCTAGCATGCTCCAAGCTTTTCATTCATCCCTAATGTCCACCAAGCCCCATAGATGGATGTCATTTATAGTTCTGTTTCTCTCTGAGGATGATAGGAACTCTCAAGTTGGTGTGAATTAATTGCACATGGTTCCCCTTCCTGGGGTCTGCTATGTATGTTTTATTTTTTATTTTTGAGACAGGGTCTCCCTGTAACCCCAGCTGGCCTGGAACTATGTAGACTAGGCTGGCCTTGAACTCACGGAGATCCACTTGCCTTTGCCTCCCGAGTGCTGGGATTAAAGGCCTTTGCCACATATGTTTAATAAGAGGGACAACAGGCATGTTTTCTTCTGAGACAAGATGATGCAGTATTGACACTCTTAAATATTTAAATAAATTTTCTAAATATTTATTTTATGTATATGGGTGTTTTTGCTAGCTTTTGTGGCTGTTATTTTTGGGATAGGGTCTCCCTGTAGTCACAGCTAGCCTGGAACTCAGTATGTAGAACATGCTAGTCAAGATCTGCCTGCCTCTGCCTTCCAAGTGCTAGGATTTTATTTTTTAAATTTTATTTATTTTTATTTTATGTGTATGCATGTATTGCCTGCATGTAGGTAAGTGCACCTGTGTCATGCAATGCCTGCAGAGGTCAGAAGAGGGCATCCAATCCCCAGTATTTGGCATCATTACCCGAGTCTCAACCTTTGTTTTGTTGGTGATATTGGGTGTTGAACCTAGAACCTCATACATGATAGTTAAAAACAGCCCTCTTGGGCTGGAGAGATGGCTCATCAATTAAGAACACTGGTTGTTCTTACAGAATACCTGGGTTCGAATCTCCCAACACTCACATGGCAACTAACAACTGTCCGTAACTCCAGTTCCAGGGGATCTGATGGCCTCTTCTGTCCTCCACGGGCATTGCACGACACAGATGCACTTACCTACATGCAGGCAATACATAAATATAATAAAAATAATAAATAAAATATTAAAAACAAAAACAAAAGCCCTCTTTTCATTTTGAAAGAGGGAGTGGGATTATGGGAGAGTATACAAAGGAGTTTTAACTTGTTAGTCTGTAGTCTGGAATCTGAATATTTGTTGTGCTATTGCTATCCTAGGCAGGCAAGCACTGTACCACTGAGCTACACCTCCAACTTTTTGTGTATGTGTATGTATGTTTTATATCCCCAGGTAGCCTGGAACTCACTATATAGCCTTGATATTATAGAGGTCCACCAACCTTTGGATATGTGAGCATTCGAATTTGTGTGCCACAGTATTTGTGTGTGTGTGTGTGTGTGTGTGTGTGTGTGTGTGTACCTGTGTGCCTGTGTTAGTCAAAGAACCACCATATAGGTCCCAGACACATCAGGTTTGGTAGTTAGGAGGCACCTTTACCTGATGAGCCATGTCACTGGTCCATCCCCAGCTCTAATATTTTCTCTAATATTTATTTACTGTATATGTGGGCATGTACATGCACATGTGTGTGCACATATGTACATGCCATGGTGTGTGCACGTATGCATATGTAGGTCAGTCTCTCCAGGATGTGGCATCTAGGGCTCTAACTCAGGTCGTGGTTTGGTGGCCAGCACCCTTACCACAGCTTTTGTGTCTGAATTAGTTACTCTATAGTAAGTAAATCACTAATAACGGCACTGAAGACTAGGTGTGATGATGGAAGCCTGCTGAGACAGGGATTCAATTTGAAACCAATTTTATAACATGCTGAGATCTGTTGCCCAAACCAAAAACATTGTTATCCTCAACAACAAAATTCATTTAAGAATGCTAAGGTCATTTTTTTATTCCTATTTTTTTGGAGAAATAGTCTTATGTAGCCCAGGTTAGTTTCTACCTAAATAGCAACAGATCTTGAACTTCTTATCCTCTGATCCTCCAACCTCCACCTCCCAAATGCTGAGGTTATAGACATATAGTAAATAGCATGGCAGGTTTTTTTGTTTGTTTGTTTGTTTTTGCTTTTGTTGTTTGTTTTGGGAACAAGGCTGTTATAGATCTAATTATGTAGCAGGTAGCAGAGGTTGTTCTTGAAATTGTAATCACCTTCCACCTGAGGGCTAGAATTTCAGGCATACACCACACCCAGTCTTCCATCTCTCTCTCTCTCTCTCTCTCTCTCTCTCTCTCTCTCTCTCTCTCTCTCTCTCGTCAGGTTCTTACTATGCAACCCTGTCCAGCCTATGGACTAGGCTGGCTTCTAACTCAGGTCTGCCAGCTTCCTCCCAAGCACTGGGATGAAAGGTACGGCCCACAATGCCTGGCTAAGAAATAAGTTTTTAAAAGTAATTACATGTATAAAGATTGGAATTTAACTAGGGCAGAATAGATGGCTCAGTGGATAAAACACTTGTCAGGCAGAAGAGAAGACCAAGAGTTCAGGTTCTCAGCACACACATTAATTAATCGTCTGGGGACAGGGCAATGCAAGGCAGCTCATCTATAATCCCAACTGGGGGAAGGCAGAGACAAGAGATTCCCAGGGCAAGCTGGGCAGCTATATTAGCAGAATCAGTGATCCCTGAGTTCTGGAGAGCAACTAATTGTCTCAACAAATAAAGTGGAAAAGAATGGAGCAAGAACATAACCTTCACCCATTCATGGGCATGCGTATATGCATATCACACACAGGCCCAAAAAATTCATGTAAGTACAAGTGTCATTTCCAGGGTAGGGAAACCACCTCACATTTCTTTATTCAAAGCGCTTCATCCAAGGGTTAAACATGAAGGGCTTACTTAGCATGGAAGAAGCTCTGGGATGGATCCCCAGTCGCAAAACATGATATACAAGCCTGGGATCCCAACACTTAAGTATCAGAAGTTCAAAGTCATCCTCAGCTACATATAGAATTCTACCCAGCAGAGGCTAATATGGGATAAATCAGACCTTGCCTCAAACCTGACCTTGCCACAGCCAGGTGCTGTGGAGTGCATTTTTGATTCCAACATTGGTGAGGAAGAGGCAGGTGGATCCCTGTGTTCCGGGACAGCCTGGTCTACATAGTGAGTTCCAGGCAGCAAATTTCTGCTTCACGGAGAGACTCTGCATCAAAAATATAAGATAGAGGGGCTGAAGAAATGACTCAGTGGTTAAGAGCACTGGCTGCTTTTGCAGAAGACCCAGATTCAGTTCCTGGCACCCACATGGTGGCTAACAACTGTGCATGACTCCAGTTCTGTGATGCCTTCTGGCCTCCATGGTCATTGCATGACACAGGTACACTCACATGCATACATACACTCATACACATAAAATTAAAGAAAAAAAGGTAGAGCCAGGTGTGGTGTATACTTTTAATACCAGCACTTGGGAGGCAGAAGTAGGAAGATCTCTGAGTTTGAAGCCAGCCTGATCTATACTGAGAGTATCAGGATAGCCAGGGAGACCTTGGCTCAGTAAAACAAAACAAAACAAAGTCACCAAAATAAATGGAAAGAAGAACTGCATCCATTTTGTCATTTGTGATAGTATTTGAAAGCCTTATAAGCTACATAGGATGTTCCAAGCTTGCACTCAGCATTCAGGGGGAATAAAAACAAGATCAGTAAAGGCCAGCCTTAGGTATATAGCAAGCTTGAGGCCAGCCTGGACAAACAAAAACAATGTGTTGAAAAGAGCATTAGAGTGAGTCCAAAATTGAAAGAATCCTCTGGTATTTTGTTTTAGTATTTGTTTATTTATTTAAACAGAGTTTCTCTAATTTGGTGGCAGTCTTGTCCCAATGTTTACCATTTCCTTTTTTATGTTTTGTGGGGTGCTTGTTTATTTATCACAAGGTCTCACTATATAGTCTTTGCTGGCTTGGAACTCAGATCTGCTTGCTTCTGCAGGGAATAAAGGTGTCCCACCACACCAGCATGATTATTTTTATTTTTTATTTTTAATTATGTACATGTGTTTATGTCTGTGAGTGTGCATACGAGTGCAGGTACCTGAGGAGGCCAGAGGCCTTGGTACTGGAGGTATAGTCTGCTTGGCATGGGTGTTGCAGAACCAAACTTGGGTCCTCCGCAAGAACAATATGAGCTCCTAACCACTGTGCCATCTCTACAGCTCCTTGTGTGTTTGTTTTGAGAACAAGATCTCTTGTAGCCCACGTTAACCACTGCAGCCAAGGATGGACTTGAACTCTTGATCTTCCTGCCTCCGTAAGGAAGTGCTGGGATTGCTGATGGGAGCCACCGTGCCCAGCTGGTTTGAGGCTGTCTCACTATAGTCCATGCTGTCCTGGAATTGGCAGTCCCACACTCAGTTTCCCAAATGCTGGGTTTATGCATTGGAGCCCCGTTGCCAATAAGGATTTTCTGAATATTTTTTGGTCATTCTCAGTTACCTAATTTTACTTATTAATTCATAGCAAATATATCTTCTAGGAGAGTACATAGGAAAAAATTTTTTTTTGCTTTTTATTTCAGATCAACCTCATGTGATCAAGCTCAACGATACCTCCATTTTTCTCCTCAGAAGGGAGTCTTTCCAAAGGACCAATGACTCTGACTCTCGTACCCTTGCAGTTTTTCCTATTTTGCAGCTATGTCTCGATCCCGCCACGCAAAACCTTCCAAATTAGTCAGGAAAGAAGATCTAAACAAAAAGAAAAGCACCCAAATGAAGAAGACATCAAAGCTGGCCATCAAAACTGGGACATCTGGGAAGACTTTGAGCCCTGGAAAACTGAAGCAATTAATTCAAGAAAGAGATGGTAAGAAAAAACCAGAAGCCAAACCCCACACTCCGGTCAGAAGCCTGCTAACCAGAGCTGGGGCAGCCCGAATGAATCTGGATAGGACAGAGGTCCTGTTTCAGAACCCAGAGTCCTTAACTTGCAACGGGTTCACAATGGCTCTCCGAAGTACCTCTCTTAGTAGGCGACTCTCCCATCCCCCAGTGTTTATAGCCAAATCCAAGAAAATCCCATCTTCTAAGAGTTTGGAAAAGCAGCATAAGACCCTAGATAGCATGGGCCCAAATCCCTCAGAAAACAATTCGGTGCTCATCCAAGACCCCCTCATGTCCCCTGATACAGAGAATCTGAATAGTGAGCCAAATGCAGGTTTATTTCAAGATGAGAGCCAAGAGATGGTCCAGTCTTGGCCTCAAAGGGTAGAAGATTCCAAAACCAGTATCCCTACCACAGAGATTCTTTCTGGGCCACCAAAAGGGACACATGGTGAAGAACAGACATTACACGATGGCAGCAATTCCCATAGAATATTTGCTCTGGACACCACGAGTGCTCCTTTGTCCCAAAGAACAACCCCTGAAATCACCTCTCAAAGAAACTCAAGCATTCAGTTAGAAGATTTGGGTTCACAAGTAGAATCTCTTAAGCTATCTGACACTTCCTTGGATCCCCTGGGAAATGAAAGTAATTGCTACCCCACCTCCAGCTTTAATAAGATTGTGCCTGAATTTGACCTTAGAAACTGCGTATCTCTTGGAGGGTCTGTATATTCCACGGCTCTGATAAAACTCCTCTTAGCTGGCTCCCAGCCAGATGCCCCTGGTGCTAAACCCCAAGAAGTCCTCAAAACTACCCCAGACCAAGGGGAAATTCTTGGTGCCACCTCTGTCCTAGGACAGTCCTTCAGTGCTCTCTCACATCCGTGGGAATTTTCTGGTGCTAACCTATTTCCTGGTGAGGGTCTAGGTAAGGTCCCCAACCCACCAGGGGATCCTGGTGCTATTTCCATCCAAAGGCAGGTCTTTGCTACTATGCTAAACCAACCAGAAGCTATTGATGTGGGTATGGGTGCTTCCACAGACCTGCCTATCTTCCCTCCTGTTTGTTCAAACACAGTTGCTACCTATAATACACTGCCCACGTGGCCAGAGTCCCATAGTTCTGTCTCATACAGGCTTGAGGTCCAAAGTTCAACGCCAGTTTTGCCTTTGGATTCAGGGCACCCTCCTCAACCATCTTCAGACTCAGAGTTAAGTTCAGTACCTCCTGTAATAGCTGCATGCACCATTGAGGATGAAAAGCAGTTTTGTGGAAGCCTTCCAGCTAACACACAAGCGTTCATATATGCCCCTGATGATGGACTCCACCATGCTCCTTTGGATCTTACCCAGTGCTCCCGGGCTGGTCCCAGCAAATCAGGAGGGAGTCCCCAGGTCAGCATAAGTAGCTCGGCTGATGTCAATACCACAGTGACGTCTGTGCCAGCAACAGGTGCCAGCACCTCTTCTTCCTCTACACCCTCACTACCAACTTTGGAGAGGAGGAAACGCAAGGCATGTGGGGTCTGTGAGCCCTGCCAGCAGAAAAGCAACTGTGGGGAATGTACCTACTGCAAAAATCGGAAGAACAGCCATCAGATCTGCAAGAAGAGGAAGTGTGAGGAGCTCAAGAAGAGACCAGCCTCCACTGCACCTGGGGAGGTAAGTGGACCTGCCAAGGGGCAGGGAGACATCTGCAGTGCTTGGTACAGGACAGCCTGTGCTTGCTTTATAGATCATTTTATTTTGCAAAAATGTTGCTTTCTCTATTAGAACTTGTGAACATACCCAAAAGTACATGCCCAAAGTGCCTTTGATTTTGGCAGGTGCCTTCTAGCAAGTTCTCTTAGCTGCATCCCCAGCCTTGCCTAGCCTTTTTTTTTTTTCTTGTTGAGACAGGGTCTCCATGTAGATCAGGCTGTCACAGAGATCTGCCTGCCTCTGCCTCCTGAGTGCTGGAACTAAAGGCATGCACCACCACCACTCCCAACTTACCTCAACTTTTAGTAGGTAATTTCTATTTTCTCATCATAATTCATGGGATTCAGGGATTAAATGGTTTATTAACACCAATGTAATACAAATATGAGTTCATTCTGGTTTATGAACTTAATATAGAACAAATATCTGATTTAGAATTTATTTAAAAGGTTTTATGAAATTGATTAAAAGTCCTGAAGTCAGAGGAAGGTGGATCTCTGTTTCAGGCTGGCCTGGTTTACACAGTGTGTTCTAGGCCAGCCAGGAATGCATAGTGAGACCAATGTCTCAAAAAAAAAACAAAAACAAAAAAATAAACAAACAAAAAAAACTGCATGAATAAATTTGTCCACTTTCCGAAGCCTACTGGCTTGTGTCCTGCTTCACAGCTTACAAATCTCTGATTATCCCAAATAGAAATGCCAATCACCTATGCTGTGTTGAATCATGAGGTCTTATCATGCCTGCATCTCCAAATTTTGGGGGGAGGAGGGGGAGTCATTGCTCCAATTTGAAGTCTTAATCTGTTGCTAAGATAATTTTGGTATTCGATTTGTTTGCAAGTGGGTTTTTTTTTTCGGTACTTTAACAGGCTATCTACTTAGGGTAGACACAGATAGTAGCAGTAAAGTCAGGACCTTAAATAAGCCCTTAAAAGCCTACATACGTAAATCACTCTGCATTTATGGCATATTGCATTGAAAGTAAGATGATAAAATAGCATAACTAGCCAGTGCTTACAGGTGCTTAACAAAAAATGTCTCAGGGACCAGGATTTTTTCACCAAAGAGGTGTTGGACCCAGCTAACCAAAAACACCTGTGTTGTGGTGGTGCGCGCCTTTAGTCCCAGCACTCAGGAGGCAGAGGCAGGCAGAACTCTGTGAGTTCAAGGCCAGCCTGGTCTCCATAGTGAATCCAGGACAGCTGGGGCTATAAGCATAACTGTCTAGGCCTGAAAATTACAGACAAGGCTTCAGGTTGTTAGCATAGAATGTAAGATGCACTCTTATGCCTTTCCACCTGAGGGTCTTATGTATCCCAGTCTGGTCTTTTAACTCCCTAAGTAGCCCAGATGATCTTGAACGTCTCATCTTCCTACTTAGATTTCTGAGGTGTTTGGCACAGCTCACCTGGCATCAGATCCCTTGCAACTGGAGTTAAGGAAGGTTGTTAGCCAGAACCCAACCTGGCTCCCTCTGAAAGAGCAGGCAGTGCTCTTAACTGCTGTGCTATCTGTCCAGCTGCTTATTTTTAATTTTCATATTTTTGAGACAGGGTCTTCCTGTAGCCCCAATTGGCCTGGAACTCACTATGTAGACCAGGATGGTCTTGAATTCAGAGATCCACCTACTTCTGCTCCCCCCGACTCCCCTGCCAGGTGCTGGGATTAGAGGCATGTGCCACCACACCAGGAGACACTTTATTTAAATCTCTCTCTCTCTCTCTCTCTCTCTCTCTCTCTCTCTCTCTCTTTATATATGGTATATTTTTGGGACCTCTGTGACATTGCATGACAAGGGTGCACACACATACGTGTAGGCAATACATTCATACACATAAAATAAAAATAATAAAATTTAAAAAATCTCTAAAAATGTATTTTTAATTTTATTTGTGTGAATGTATTGCCTGCACGTATGTAAGTACACCCGTGTCATGCAATGCTCATGGAGGTCAGAAGTGGGCATAGGCCCCCTGGAACTGAAGTTACGGATGGTTGTTAGCTGCCATGTGAGTGCTGGGAATCGAACCCGGGTCCTCTGCAAGAGCAACCACTGTGCTTAACCACTGAGCCATCTCTCTAGCTCTGACATTTTTATTTTACTTTGTCTTTTGTGATGGGATATGGGAGTGAAGCAAGCCAAGCCTCCCTTGGCACTTCTATGTTCTCAAACAGCCGGATTTTATTTTGGCACATGCGGTGTTCGGCATATGGAGCAAATTTTTGCTACCAGCTTCTTCAATTGAGGGCAGATGTTTAAGGACATGTGTGTCCTTAAACATGCCTATAAGGAATCTCTGTATTATTGCTGAGACTTTGGTAGCGTGTTGCCCCTAAAATAGGGTGGATGTAGAGAGAAAAGCCCCCTTTGCTGAAGATGCATCATGTGTAAACCCTAAGGATATGAATGAAGATGGTCCCTTCTCTCATCTAGGGCCTTGAGCTATACAAGTGAGATTGCCCTGACTTTCACTGATTCTGTCTTACTGGTGTTAAACTGATAAGTATTTATTTAGACCCAGGGCATTGTAGGCACCAGTTCTATACTGAGCTGCATCCTCTCATCTGGTACTTTAATTTAAATAGAGTCTCAATATGTAGCCCAAGCTGGTCTGTAGTATACTTAGCTTCCTGAGTGCTGGTACATTGCAGGAACCATCTAGGCTGTTGTCCCATTTTTGAGGCAAGAATTTCATGTAGTCCAGCCTGGCCTGAAACTCTGTGTAGCTGACTATGGTCTTGAACTCCTGATTCTCCTGCTTCCATTGCCCACATGCTGGGATTATAGCTGTGCACCACACCAATCCTAGTGTATGAAGTGATGGGGCTCAAATTCAGGGCTTTATACTGCAAAGCAAACACTTTATTTTCTTCCCACAGCCCTTTCATTTTCCTCATAATCCTTGAACTCCTGTCTCAGCCTCCTGAGTGGTTCCAGTGTTATCTGTATGGCACTTTTTCCTCAAGCAAGATCTTAATTCCAGATCTCTCCTTTATTTTCTTTGATCTTTTTGAGATAGGGTCTCCCTGTTGCCCCACCTGGCCTAGAACTCACTATGTAGACCAGGCTGGCCTTGAACTCAGAGCTCTACCTGCCTCTCCCTCCTGAGTACTGGGACTAAAGGTTGTGTGCCTTTCTTTTTTCTTTTTTTTCTGATAGGATCTCCCTGTACAGCCACCTTCCCTGGAAGTTGATGTGTAGATTCACCTGCCTGTGCATCTCTAGTGCTGAGATTAAAGGTTTGCGACACCACCCTCAGCCTCCAGATCTCATTTTGTTGGTCAACCTCTTAGTTTTGATTCCACAATGGTTTTTCAAGACTTGATGGTTACTCAAACTGCAAAAGTTATACTCTTTAATGGGATCCATTGTGAGCCTAGGGTGGATATGACACAAGTGTCACAGGAAGACTGGAAGGATCTGATTGTTATCAACTGAAAAGATGGGTCAGTGGTTGAGAGCAGGTAATGCTCTTCCAGTTCAGTTCCCAGCAACCACATAGGCACTTACAACTGCCTGTTACTCTAGGTTCTGGGGGATCCAATACCTCTGCCAGCACCTACACACACACACACACACACACACACACACACACAAATATTGGTATTGTAAACTAGTGGTGGGGGTCTGGGTCATGTGTTTCCAGGTTCCTGGACTTCTTATTCAAAGAACTGAAATAAAGACTCAGACAGGTTGCAAAGTAGGAGGGAAACTAATCGAAAAATAGAAAATTCAGTTTAGTTCAGCTAGCTGCTGACCCTGGGACCCGAGTTCAGTCCTCAGAACCTCCATGGTAGAAGGAAAGTTTCAGCTCATGGTTGGGAGTTGTTTGTTCACTGATCTCCACTTGCAGCATTGGCCTACCCCTGCCCCATAAAAAATGATAAATTAAGAATGTAAGGGCTAGAGGGATGCCTCAGCGGCTGGGAGCGCTGGTTGTTCTTGCAGATGACTGGGATTCAAGTCCTAGCACCCACATGGCAGCTGACAGCTGTCCATGACTCCAGTTCCCTTCTGGGGGATCCGGTGGCCTCTTCTGTCCTCCTCAGTCATTGCACAACACGGGTGCACTTACCTGCCTTGGGCAATGCACACATACACATAAAATAGTAAATAAAATATTTTTAAAAAAGAACATTAAAAAGTCTAGTTCTCATACCTATATATTTTCTTTTCCCTCCCCTCTCTCCCTCCCTCCCTCCCTTCCTTCCTTCCTTTCTTCCATTCTTTCTGAGGCAGGGTCTTGCTCTGTAGTCCTGGCTGGCCTGGAACTCACGGAGATCCACCTGCTTCTGCCTCACAAGTACTGATTAAAGGCACACCCTACCATACCTAGCTTTTTTTCTTTTAATAATTTTTTTTTATGTATACAAGTGTAGTATATTGCTTGCATATGTGTATGTGCACCCATGTTGTGAAATGCCTGTGGAGGTCAGTAGAAGGCATTCCCTGGAACTGGAGTTCAGATGGTTGCAAGAGCAGCCAGCACTCTTAACTGCTGAGCCATCTCACCAGCCCCACTTTTTTTTAATTAAAAAAAAATTTAGTATGTTTTTCAAGCAGGGTCTCATTTTGTAGCTGAGTGTAGCCTCCATTCCTGGTTTTCCTGCCTTCATCCTCCCCCCAAATGGCTGCATACTAGTTCTACGAATAGCTTATTCAATTATACTGAATTCCGTATAAGTATAAATCTTGGGTTTTGGCTTGTAATCTCAACAAACAGGAAGTTGAGACAAGAAGATTGCTGGAATTTGGAGATCCTGAGATAAAGTGAGTACCAGATCAGCCAGGGCTATATAGTAAGAGCTTGTCACAATGCCTCCTACCTCCCTCCGCCCCAAAATCAAACAACACCAAAACAAAACAAGAAACCTGCACAAGAGAGCTCAGCAGGTAAAGGTGCTAGCTGACAAGTCTGATTCCCTGGACGCACATGGTGAGAGGGGAGAACCAGCTAC